CGGAATGTCGCTCTGTCGCCCAGGCTGGAGTCTAGTGGCGCAAATCGGCTCACTGCAACCTCCGCCTCCCAGGTCAAGTGATTCTCCTTCCCCAGCCTCCTGAGTAGCTGCGACTAAAGGCGAGCGCCACCATGTCCGGCTAATTTTTGTATTTTTAGTAGAGATGAGTTTCACTATGTTGGTCAGGCTGCTCTCGAACTCCTGACCTCGTGATCCGCCACCCTGGACCTCCCAAAGTGCTGGGATTACACCACGCCGGCCGTACCTGTTTTCTTTACAACAATACTTCATAGCCTCCTAAACCAGCCCCTGAGGTAATAAAAATCATTAGTGGCAGAACCACTACTAGAAATTAGCTTGCTCTGGTATTCCTGGAATGTAACTTAAACTAATCTGGGAAAGAAAGACCTGCTTCCTCCTGGGCCCTGTGGTTGACTAGATCACAACTTCGCCAACCTTGCTGCTAGGTATTTAAAAACAAAAAAACATAGGAACCACTGGGCCTGTTTCTACATCTGTACAACAGGCTAAATCATCCCTACCCTGCCTGCTTCGTTCAACAGGCATTTTTTGCGAGAGCGCCGAAGCTGACATGTTACACCAACACTGAGGTTTCTAATTATCATTACCGTTTTTAATACCCACTCGGTCACCTCCGACTGTTCTTCACCTGCTCTCTGTCGGTAACTTGCTGCCGCCCGCTCCCCGCCCAGAGATGAGACCGGGCTCGTTCCGGCAGTCTCCCGACCCCGGAGAACAAAGACCGCCAAACCAAAGGCGAGCAGCAATCCCTCGGCTTGGAAATGCCGAAAGGAAAGCTCCGACTGGCTCTCCGCAACGCGAAGCAGCGCAGACCCGCCCCCGCCAGGGGTTGGAGCGAGAGAGTTGCCCTTTCCCGGTTACTTCCGCGCTTGTGAGCGACGGCGGCTCGCAAAGGCCAAACTTAATGCATGGACGAGCAGCGCGCTACTGCAGCTTTCTTCCGCCTCAGGAAGATCGTGGCCGGGGATCAGCAGGCCTCTAAGCAAGTGCGGAATGGACCAGGAGCGGGGCGATAGCAGCCTCACTTTGCGTGGTCTCCGGAACCGCTCCCACGAGAAGATAAAGCTGCGAAAGAGGAAGTCTACCTTGTACTTCAGCACCCAGGAGAAGAGCGCCAGGCGCCCCGGGGGTGAGTGAGGGGGCGCTGCCTGGAGAGCTTCTGCCCCATCTAAAAGAAGCACCTTGGCCGGGTGCGGTGGCTCAAGCCTGTAATCCCAGCACTTTGGTAGGCCGAGGCGGGTGGATCACGAGGTCAAGAGATCGAGACCATCTTGGTCAACATGGTGAAACCCCGTCTCTACTAAAACTACAAAAAATTAGCTGGGCATGGTGGCGCGTGCCTGTAGTCCCAGCTACTCGGGAGGCTGAGACAGCAGAATTGCTTGAACCCAGGAGGCGGAGGTTGCGGTGAGCCGAGATCGCGCCATTGCACTACAGCCTGGGTAACAAGAGCGAAACTCCGTCTCAAAAAAAAAAAAAAAATAAGGCCGGGCGCGTTGGCTCAAGCCTGTAATCCCAGCACTTTGGGAGGCCGAGGCGGGTGTATCACGAGGTCAAGAGATCGAGACCATCTTGGTCAACATGGTGAAACCCCGTCTCTACTAAAACTACAAAAAATTAGCTGGGCATGGTGGCGCGTGCCTGTAATCCCAGCTACTCAGGAGGCTGAGGCAGGAGAATTGCCTGAACCCAGGAGGCGGAGGTTGCGGTGAGCCGAGATCGCCCCATTGCACTCCAGCCTGGGTAACAAGAGCAAAACTCCGTCTCAAAAAAAAAAGTAAAAAAAAATAAATTAAATAAATAAATAAATAAATAAATAAAAGAAGCACCTTGTATTTCACTACCAGCCAGCTGCCAGTTGGGCTCTGTGTCGCCAGATCTTAACGAGTTTTGAAATGCTGGAAATACAGATTTTAATATAAATTCTGATTTTTAAATGTTAGCAACTAAATTCAGATTTTTAAAAAATACTTTGTATTTGGCTGACAGGCAGGCTGTCCGTTTGTGGTTTAGAGCAAGACGTTGGAGACAGCCCACAGATCCAGGTTTGAATCCGATGAGTAATTTACAGCTTTATTTGGACAACAAGGCCGTTTAATTTCTGAGCCTCAATTTGCTCGTCTGTAAAATGGGGCTAGTAATACCTACCTCGTAATATTGTTTTGAGGATTAAGTGAGATGCATGCAAAGGAATTAACACAGTGCCTGGCATATATAATAGTAAGCATCAATATATTTTAAAATGTACAGAGGACCATTTTATATTGCACATATACAAAGGGTTGCTTCTCAAATTAATAATTTATTAGCTGGTTTATTTCATTAGGTACACGCTTAGTATGACCTAATTAATTAGCCTAAGGCCTTAGTTAACCCAGTCTTTTTTTTTTTTTTTTTTTTTTTTTTTTTTTTTTTAGTATTTATTTCAATACTATGTTTATACAATAAGTTGCAAGAAAAGTGGGTTAAGCTAAAAGAGTGGCAGTGGCCCAGTGTTGAGGCTGTGGTCCTTGTATAACCTTCCCCAGGTTGGCTTTGAGAATGGTGAGGAGGGCCAGAGTGCACTACTGTCCCTTGGCAGAGCTTCAGCAAGAGGCAATCAGAGCCGCAGATTTTAAGCTCCGCAAGTGAAACTGCCTGACTTTTGTGCCACAATTACCTATTTTGTTCTGTTTTTCAGATCTTCTTGGAGAAAATATTTATCTGCTCTTGTTTACCATAGCTTTACGAATATTAAACTGCTTTTTAGTGCAGACAAGTTTTGTTCCAGATGAATACTGGCAGTCTCTTGAAGTTGCACATCACATGGTTTTCAAATATCCTTTGTGGTTTCTCTTCCAGGTGAATATTCATCTTAGCAATTGTGTTCAGTTTCTTTTAGAGTAGTCCCCCCTGCTCCCTCATCTTCAGGAGATAGTTTCCAAGATCCCTAATGGATGCCTGATACTGTAGACAGTACCAAACTCTATACATGTTGTTTTTATATATATAAAATATATACACATACTTACAATAAAGTTTATATAAATTAGATACAACAGATTAACAACAGTATTAAAATAAAACAAGTATAACACAATACTATAATAAAAGTTATGTGAACATGGTCTCTGTCTCTCTCTCAAAATATCCTCATATTTTCAGACAGTGGTTGAATTGACTATGGGCAACTGAAACCATGGAAAGTGAAACCACAGATAAGGGGGGACTACTGTCCATGTTTTCAGTTTTCCATATTTTCCCCAAATAATCTTAACTCATCAAAGTATGCTATTATTTTATACTAATATTTCTCCTGTCTTTCTTCTATGTTAATATACTTGACACAGTCGTTAGTATACATTCCTATAGTGCTTAGCACTTGGAGGATACAGAGAAAGTAAAGAACACATTACTGCCTTGAAGAAGTTAAGAGTTTAGTTGGCCAGTTGTATTTTTAATGCAAATATCCAGTATAAAATACTGTTTTAAGACTTTGCCAAAAAATAAAATATTGTTTTATAAGTGGAAATGAAAATATATTTTGCCAAGTGAAGTGGTGTGCACCTGTAGAGGCAGGAGGACCACTTGAGCCCGAGTTTGAGACCGGACTGGGCAAGAGTGAGACCCCATCTTAAAAAAAAAAAGGAAATAGGTTTCAATTTTATTTTCCATTTAATCCTTAATGTTACTAATTATGGTTATTTGACTTGGGAATGGACAGAGAGATTGAGGGGTTACACTTTCCCCTTAATCTTTGCAAGCATTTACAAGATTCTTCATCTTTTGGGGAAAGATACTGTTCAGTTGCTGGTAAGTTTAAATCAAAGTAACCAAACTACTTACTAAAAGTAGATTTATTGCACTGTTTTCAAAGCTTAATGTATATTAACTAAATGATAATGGTACCGTGGAATTTGTTTTTAAAAGACTACCGTTAGTCAAGTCCAGCCATATCTGGGAAGCCCACCATACTAAAGACACACTGTGATGTGTAACTCTTTCGTATGTGCTAAAATATAAGACAGCATGAAAATGTCCTGCTGTGAGGAATTCTGTTAGGATGTGCAGATTTTCTTTTCTTTTTTTTTATGTGTAACTCCCACTCAGATGTGCAGATCTTCAAAATGACTATATTATGTATTATTTGGACATTAGAAGTACTGTATACTTCTTTCTTAAAAGTATCACTTGAGAGCAGTGTTGTATTTTGTGTTTTTTAACTTGTAGGTTGAAGACCATGTTATATGAGTTTATGAGGACTAAATACATGTAAACCCACTCAAGATTTAGGGTTGAAATTAAAACTTTTAAAAATTTAATTTGACAAAAATATAATGATACACATAATCATTGTGCTATGTAGTAACTAGGCATCAACAGTAAGTAATTCCTAGGTCATTAATTGCTAGGGTCAATTGCCAGGAGATGCTACAAGGGTAGGACTAATGGTGCAAAAGTTTCTCTAGCTTCACTCCCAAGATGCTTTAAGCTATCTTCAGATGAGACTCAGAGTTTGGACTCTCCCTGATTTCTGACAGTGGGGGTTAATGGTGCAGCATTCCAAAGGGAGTCCAAATCCTGAGGTGTTTTGTGTAACTTAGAAAGACACAGGTTCTGGGGTATTTAAGGTAGGGTTGTACTCTCCCCTTTACAGTATTTGCTTCCCCATTATTGAGAAATTAGGGTTAAACCACTGAAAGTGATGCTTCAAATGTGAAGATGAAGGGGAAGGAGAATTCAGAGCAGTAGCAGAGTATCTTCCATTAACACAGGTAGAATTTAGGAGCTGCGACCTGACTTTTCTCCCCTTACAGTTATCTACTAGCTTATAGATTATGTAAGGTATACATAAAGTCTGGAATCACAAGAAAGTATACATAATCTCAATGACATTTTATATCCCAAGAAGTAGGTCAGATTACGAATGAAGAGGTCTTCAGGACAGAAAAATTTCCTACTCCTCACTGCCCTCAATCTGTAGCTGACCCACAGGTCAATGTGTGATTTAAAGGAAACTCCCCCTGACCCACTCCAACCCCCCCTAAAAGGAACCCATTGTCATATCTAAAACTTGACTATGTAGAGATTTATTAGGATATGATCAGTCATTCATACTCTCATATTGATTATTTTGAGTAAATTATATATCTAATTTTGAAGCTAGAAGTCAGAGAAGTGAAGTAAATAGATCAAGGTCACAGCATGTTAAAAGCAGAACTAGAACTAAATCCTAGGTCTACTTACTCACAGCCTAGTGCTGTTCCCAGATAGCTCCTCTACAAACTGGATAAGATGTGTGCACACCTGCGCATGGTGGCTCACACTTATAATCTCAACATTTTGGGAGGCTAAGGTGGGAGGATTGCTTGAGGCCAGGAGTTTGAGGCCAGCCTGGGCAACATAGCAAAACTCTGTTTCTACAAAAAAACTTTTAAAAAGGAGAGATGGCTTAGAGCTGCACAGTCCGCTATGGTAGCCACTAGCTACATGTGGCTGTTGAAGACTTCAGATGTGGCTAGTCCAATTTGAGAAGTGCTGGAAGTTTAAAATAAAAACTGAATGTCAAGGGCCTAGTACAAAAAAAAATAATATTTTTATAATTTTTTTTATTGATTAAATGTTCAAATGATAATGCCTTAGATACACTGGGTCAGAAAAGATGAAATTAATTTTACCTGTTTTGGGTTTTCTTTTCTGTTTTTACTTTTTCATTTGCCTGCTATAGAATTTCACATTATACATGTGGCACATATTATATGTCTATGGGTCTGTGATGGCTTAGAACATGTGAAAGTAAAGAGGAGAGGAGGGGAAACCTGAATGAGGAACTACAGTAAGGTTTGTTGTTTTTGTTTTTGTTTTTGTTTTTGAGACAGTCCCATTCTGTTGCCCAGGCTGGAGTGCAATGGCATGATCTTGGCTCACTGTAACTGCCACCTCCCGGGTTCAAGTGATTCTCCTGTCTCAGCTTCCTGAGTAGCTGGGATTACAGGTGCCTGCCACCACACGTGGCTAATTTTTGTATTTTTTAGTAGAGACTGGGTTTCATCATGGCCAGGCTGGACTCAAATGTCCACTTGCCTCCGCCTCCCAAAGTGTTGGGATTAAAGGCGTGAGCCACCAAGCCTGGCCAACAGTAAGGTCTCTTTGAATAGTCACAAGACAGCAAAAAAGTATCTGGCTCCTGTAGCTTAGGGGAGGACTCAGGATCTTGAAGAACAGAAGTGTGGAATGGGGAGCTGCCAACACAGGCCTGGTGCTCAAGTTACACCTGGGATATTCCTTCTCTTTACCTCACTCCAGTGCTTTAATCTTTAGTATGTCTTTACTGTAACCTGGAAAATTATGGTATCAAAAATCTGGAAAGACTGCTAATGACTGGCAGTTCAGAACTCCACTTATTTTTATGCTAAAGTCTACTTTCTTTTAAATTCAAGATTTCTACTTGACCACCCTTGAAAAACTTCTCTTTATTCGGGTAAACATCTCTAGCTCTTAACCTCATAAACAGAGATAGTATCCTCTAGACACTTTGTAATTCATTAATATCCATCTTAAAATGTGGATCTCCAAACTGGCACAATATTGAAGGGAGAGTAACTAGTTCAGAATATGGTGGGTCCATTAACTTACATTTCTCAGAGCACAGGGATTCTTTTAGCTTTTTAATAGCTACCTCACACTGTTGGCTCATATTAAGTTTGTAGCCAAATTGACTTTTCATATGAACTGCTTTCAGGGGGCCTGGGAAGTGAGGATGAAGCTTATAGCTCCCTATGCAGAGTAAACAGAAGGTATGTACATGGGTGCCTTTTCCTGTATTTTACAGGGCACACTTTATGTGGCATTTACTACCATGTAGCTTTAACTTTCCAATTTAAGCATTTATTTACACATCATGGACAAAAAAATATAAAACTAAAGTGCTAAAAGCCATTGACAACGAAAAGTAAAGCAGCTCCTATATTGTGGAATTAATGAAGTTTGATTCAACAAAAATATGAATTCATGGCCGGCACGAGAATCCCAGCACTTTGGGAGGCCGAGGCAGGTGGATCACCTGAGGTCAGCAGTTCAAGACTAGCTAGCCAACATGGTGAAACTCCATCCCTACTAAAAATACAAAACTTAGCCAGACGTGGTGGTGGGCGCCTGTAATCCCAGCTACTCGGGAGGCTAAGGCAGAAGAATCTCTTGAACTCAGGAGGTAGAGATTGCCGTGAGCCAAGATCATGCCACTGCACTCCTGCCTGGGTGACAGAGACTCTGTCTCAAAAAAAAAAAAGTACAAATTCATGTACAAATTTTTGAAACACATCTTTTGAACACACCAAGATTAAACTGTGTTCTACCAGCAAGCGTTATTTTGTTAGTGTTAACTATGACATTTTTTCAACTGAGAGATGCTAGTGCATAGCATTAACATTTCTAACTACAATTTACTTGTAAAACATTTAATCTTTATTTCAATTTTACTCTTAAATTTACTCTTCAATGTCATCTGAATACCATGTTCCTATAATTGCAGAATATTTGTGCTTTTTAAAAAAGTAATGTGTTATAGCCGGCACGGTGGCTCACGCCTGTAATCCTAGCACTTTGAGAGGCTGAGGTGGGCGGATTGCCTGAGCTCAGGAGTTCGAGACCAACCTCAGCAATACGGTGAAACCCCGTCTCAACTAAAATACAAAAAATTAGCCAGGTGTAGTGGCATGTGCCTGTAATCCCAGCTACTTGGGAGGCTGAGGCAGGAGAATTGCTTGAACCCTGGAGGTGGAAGTTGCAGTAAGCTGAGATCACACCACTGCACTCCAGCCTGGGCAACAGAGAAAGACTCCACCTAAAAAAAAAAAAGTAATTTGTTATTATCTGTATTGCAGGATAGAGAAGGAGTGTAACTTAGGAATTAAAAGCCAGGCTTTAGTGTCAGGCAAACGTGGGTTTATAATCTTGCCTTTCATACTAACTAGCTGTGCAACCTTGTGAAAATTACTTAACCTCTCTGTTCCTCAGTTTCCTCTTCTATAAAACAGTCCCTGACTCAGAAGACTGTTAGGACTGAATGAGTTAATACATATAAAGTGCTTAGCATGATACCATGTACACAGTGCTGCAAACGTTTGATTTTTTAAAAACCTGTTGTTGCTAATGAATATAATATACTTTTAAAATAGAAACTTAACACAATGAAATGATTGGCTAACTATTAATATTTACATTAAAATTAGGGCCAGGCACAATGGCTCACACCTGTAATCCCAACACTTTTGGAGACTAAGGTGGGAGTATCACTTGAGGCGAGATTAGCTGAGTGTGGCAGTGCATGCCTGAAGTCCTAGCTACTCAGTAGACTGAGGCAGGAAGATTGCTTCACCCCTGGATTCAAGACTGCAGCCTGGACAACAGAGTGACACCCTGTCAATCAATCAATATAATAAAAATATATATTTATATATAATATATATGTGTGTATATTTGATATATGATATGGTGTGTATATACTATATATATGTATATTATATGTATATATATATACGCACACACACAGATGCAGAGAGTATGAGACTGGTAAAACTTATATTGATTATTTTAATGAGAAATTATAATTTTTGTAGAAAAAGGTATGTAGTTTTGCAGAAAGAAAATATAGTGTCTATTTTTGTACTAAGAATGCTCTCTGTAGATAGTTGGATCAGATTGTTGATTTTTACCATAATTCAGTGTGAACTAACAGATGTTTTTAACATCCTCTTCTTCTTTTTAACTGATGAAGATTTGGATTCCTAGACTTGCCCAAGCACTTCTGTCTGCTGTAGCAGACGTGAGACTTTACTCATTAATGAAGCAACTAGAAAATCAGGAAGTGGCAAGATGGGTGGTAAGTTCTAAACACTTGAGAAGCCGTATGCCAGTTACTTCATTCCTATGGGTATGAAGCACATGGAAACACTGATTGCCAAAACAACTTTAGAAGATAATTCATGCAGCTTTACAGAGGTACTTCCATAATTAAGAACAGTAACATGCAGTGGCACCTGCCGTATCTTTCCTCCTGATTAAGCCCTGGACACTGGCAGCCACTGATACCCTCAAACCCTATGAGCGTCTAAACCTGGGAAACAGCCTTTGGAAACCTCTTTACTCTTCAAAATGCCTCTCTTTCCATAGCATGGAGTAGAGATAGTTCCAGATTACCAACTACTTCACACAGCACCTTAGCTACTTACAACCCTTGTTCTGTTCCTCTAGCAAGCCTATATGTGAGGTGCAGCCTGAGAAATCTCTTTGCATTGAAACTCTTTCAGTTCTGAATGGGATGTCCGAAGTATTAGGTTAGTGCAAAAGTAATTGTGGTTTTTGCCACAACAGTATTAGGTTGGTACAATTACTGGACTTGTGAGGGAGAGAGTATGGTACAGAAAACTATCTTTTGTCATTTGACTTATTTCAAGGTGAGATGACAGATTCCTGACATCTCCCACTCAAATCTTGAATGAATGAATTTTTCCCATTTACACAATATCCTAATGAGGGATTGGATCCTGTAGTACTATTGTTAATTCATTTGGCTCTTTGTAAAGTTAATAAGCTTATATGAGCCTGCTTGAAGGTCTTAGCCTTGTTATTTTCTTTTTTTTTGAGACGGAGTTTCACTCATGTTACCCAGGCTGGAGTGCAATGGCACGATCTCGGCCCACCGCAACCTCCGCCTCCTGGGTTCAGGCAATTCTCCTGCCTCAGCCTCCTGGGTAGCTGGGATTACAGGCACGCACCACCATGCCCAGCTAATTATTTGTATTTTTAGTAGAGACGGGGTTTCACCATGTTGACCAGGATGGTCTCGATCTCTTGACCTCGTGATCCACCCGCCTCGGCCTCCCAAAGTGCTGGGATTATAGGCTTGAGCCACCGCGCCCGGCCTAGCCTCGTTATTTTCTACTTATATTCTATGTACATTGCTGAAAGCTCAACATAAAATGGTAGGCAAAAGTCATGATGGCTTTGAAGTGCTTCCTCCAGAGTTACAGCACTAGGTTCTTCTAGTTTAGGAAAAACCTTTACTTTCATGAAAATTGGGAACATTTTTTAAAGGCTGTATTTGGAGAGATGGGAAGCTTGTGCCACATACTTAACAACTGCCTCAACTAACAAGTTTCTTTTAGCACATTTATTTTGCAGACTTAATGTGCTCTGTGTGCATGTTCTTCCAAAAACTGATGCATTAATTTAGTCAATTTCCAAATTAAAATTTAATAATGTCTCCTGACTTTTTTTTTTCCTCTTTCCTGTTTTATCTTAATTTTTCATCATCATTCCAAAACAGGGAAACATTTCAAACAAGGACAATATTCCAAACAAGGTCAATAAAAAAGTCATAAAATTTGTGTCAGTACTATAAGACAGTTTGAGAAATATTGATTGGAAGAATCTAGGTATGAATTTCAATCCTCTGTAAACTCTACCATCAAAGAATCTGTTTTATGTGTTCATTAATGAAAAATGGGATTTTAAATCAAATGCAGTGCCATAAAAATGCACCTGAAAGTATAAATTTCTTAACATGAACAAATATAGATCTGCTATTTTCATAAACCTGTGTTTGATATAACTTTCTAAAAATAACGTTTGGGCATGCCTACTTACTTTAACATCATCTACCTTTTGATGTCCTTTTCACAGTATTTAGACTTACTTGCTATTTGGAACATAGTATGTACTAAGATTTTCCATTTCCTACTTCATACATGTTTGCTCTATACTTGCTCTTAGTTTTTTTGCCAGTTGTGCTCCTGGTTCACATGGTATTGCTGTACCAGAACCCTTACAAACACCATGGAAACTGGTCTCACTATAATTGCTCTTTTCTACTATCCTTTGGAAGGCTCAAAGTCTATGAACAGGTAAGAAAAATTACTGTTAATAATTATGTACAAAACTCTACTTTTGAAAAATCTTAAATATCAACATATTGTAATGTCTAGTAGACCCCCTAATTTTCATGAGTGTTGAGAACCACAAAATTTCAGTTGATATAGCAGAAAACAGATAATACTCAAACCAGATAATTAAGGAGAGTTTAACAAAAGGAATATTTACAAAGGTGTAGACAATATTTAGGAAAGCCAATAAGGAAACACCATAGTACTCCCAGACTAGTTATAGTAGGAAGTCTGTATTACCTCTAGGCTTCAAGGAGCAAGAAGAAATGGTTACTGGAATCTATAAAGAGCTATAATTATAAGAGAGAGCCTCAACAGGGGACAGGCACAGCCATCCTTTAGCAATAATGAGAGACAGCCAGGGGAGTAAATAATCCTGACCCAACTCTTCTGCCTCTCAAGTAGCCCAAACTAGTCAGAAGCCAGAAAGCAAGATAGCCATGGATGTTGTCCATTCGGGTCAGCTTTCCCGAATGTACAGTGCTGGAGAAGAAGCCATCTGGAAGGACAAATAGGAAAAAGTTGGACTTGATTTGGCTTTCTTTAAACTGGGGAAACAAATACCATGCAATGGGAACATGAGTGAAGGCACAGAACTGTAAATGGGCTTCATTTACAGTTATAGTTACAGTATATTCAGGGCAGACTGTGCAAAGTAGTTATAGAGTGTGGTAGGATGCATGGAAGAAGAGAAGAATAAGGGATGAGGCAGGAACGGAGACTTTGAGTTTGGATTTTATTCTGTAGGTAACAGGGAACCATTTGAGACGTTTGAGTGGCATGACATAATCAAATCTGATTTGGAAAAACTTCTTTTGTAATAGCAATATTTAGGATATACTAAAAGGAAAAAAAGCCAGAATTTGAGATCTAGTTAAAATTCTAGTATCCATTTTTCCTACACAAAAAGGTCATTGGGAGGATCAAATAAAATAAGATCATTTCTGCCTTAGACTCTTGACTACAAGAAAAAAGCATTCACTCAAGTTACATATATGATGCAGACTTTCTTATAAGGCTAAAAGGGAAAATGGGCATCTCAAGCCTTGTGGCCAGGACTGGAAGAAAACTGTAGAATATCTCAGCCACGCAGATTAATAAAGGTTATGCAGCATCCAAGGCAGTTTTGGGGAATGAGCTGTTTTGTTGTGCCTTTATATCCCAAATAGCCTGTGAGTCCTGCTTTAGTCTTTCATTATTTAGGGGCTTAGCCAGATTCTGTCCGCTTCTCATTTTGCTAGCAATTACCACATTTCTCTATCTCGCATTCAGTTTGAGACAATCTAATTAGGTCCATTAAATGTCACTGTCTCTATCTGGCCATAATTTTATTTCACACTGGCCAGCCTTAGATTGGCTACTTGGGCCCAGATGCCCTCCCCTAATTCAGTCAGGAAGCCCAAGGGTCACGTGGTATAAAAGGAGTGCTATATAAGCATTTTTCCTTGTATAAGCATGACAGGTACTATTCTAGACCTGACAATAAAATGACCTTTTGCATCCTCTTTTTAAAATTGCAAGTATTGGGCAGACACTGTGGCTCACGCCTGTGATCCCAGCATTTTGGGAGGCAGAGGCGGGTGGATTACTTGAGGCCAGGAGTTCGAGACCAGCCTGGCTCACATGGTGAAACCCCATTCCTACTAAAAATACAAAAATTAGCTAGTCATGGTGACACGTGCCTGTAATCCCAGCTACTAGGGAGGCTGAGGCAGTAGAATTGCTTGAACCAGGGAGACGGAGGTTGCAGTGAGCTAAGATAACGCCACTGCACTCCAACCTGGGCAAAGGAGCGAGACTCCATCTCAAAAAAAATGCAAGTATTATAAATGAAAGATTCCTTTAAGAATGATATGAGAACATATAAGCACTGATTTCTATAAAATGAGAACAAAACCGTTTTCATGATGATTAAATGAGAATCTATGTGAAGTGTAAAACATAGGGCCTATTACAAAATAAGTGTTCAGTAAGTATTGATGACAATGATGTTGTTGTTAAATAAAGGAATTTTTCTGCTGGGTGCGGTGGCTCACGCCTGCAATCCCAGCACTTGGGAGGCCGAGACGGGAGGATCACAAGGTCAGGAGTTCAAGACCAGCCTGGCCAACATAGTGAAACCCCGTGTCTACTAAAAATACAAAAATTAGCTGGGCGTTGTGGCACATGCCTGTAGTCCCAGCTACTTGGGAGGAGAATTGCTTGAACCCAGGAGGCAGAGGTTGCAGTGAGCCAAGACTGAGCCATTGCACTCCAGCCTGGGCTACAGAGCAACACTCTGTCTCAAAAAAAAAAAAAAAAAAAAAATATTTCTAGGCCTGGTGCATTGGCGCACACCTGTAATCCCAACACCTTGGGAGGGAGGGATGGGAGGACTGCTTGAGCCCAGGGGTTTCACGTCAGCCTGGGCAACAAAGTGAGACCCCATCTCTACAAAAAATAAAAAGACTGTAGTCCCAGCTACTTGGGAGGCTGAGGAGGAAGGATTATTTGAGCCTGGGAGATGGAGGTTGCAGTGAGCCATGATCATGTGATGTCACTGCATTCCAAAAAGTATTTCTGGGCAATGCAAAAAAACCCAAAACAAAAACCGTGATGAAAAGGTCCCGGGATGCTAAGTGTCAGAACTTAATGTAAAATGACGACAGTGGAAGTAGGAAGGAAACAAAAGTGGATGAGTGGGATGAAAAGTGCTGTTTACGGTAACTCCAAAGTTTTAAGACTAGGAAACTGAATGTGGCCAGGTGTGATAGTTCACACCTGTAATCCCAACACTTTGTGAGGCTGAGGTGGGAGGATTACTTGAGCCAAGGAGTTCAAGACCAGCCTGGGCAACATAGTGAAACCCCATCTCTACAAAACATTTAAAAGTTAAAGAGGCATGGTGCATAGTCCCGGCTACCAGGAAGGCCGAGGAGCTTGCAATGTCAAGGCTGCAGTGATCTGTGCTTGCACCACTGTGCTCCTGCCTAGGCAAGACCCTGACTCAAAAACAAAAAAGAAACAAAGAAACGGCAACATGGGTGGACCTGGAGGCCATTACCCTATGCAAACTAACACAGGAACAGAAAACCAAATACCACATGTTCTCACATATGAGAACTAAACATCAAGAACACATGGATACTAGGAGAGAAACAGATACTGGGGGCCTACTTGAAGGTGGAAGGTGGGAGAAGGGAGAGGATCAGAAAAAATACCTATAGGGTACTATGTTTATTACCCAGTTGACAAAATTATCTGTACACCAAACCTCCGTGACATGAAATTTACCTATATAGCAAACCTGCACATATACCCCTGAACCTAAAATAAAAGTTAAAAGAGAAAATTACATGGAAAAAATTAAAATAAAAGAAGGAAACGAAATACTATTAATTTATATAGTGTACACTGAAGAGGTTTGAGGAAAAGTTGTGGGGTTTATGTCACATAGCTCTGAGTGCCAGTATATGATCTATATAAAAATAGCAGAAATCCCAACGTGCTGGGATTACAGATGTGAGCCACAGCTATATAAAAACTGGCCAAGGCAGGCGGATCACTTGATGTCAGGAGTTCAAGACCAACATGGTGAAACCCCATCTCTACTAAAAATACAAAAATTAGGCAGGCATGGTGGCATGCGCCAGTAGTCCCACCGACTCAGGAGGCTGAAGTGGGAGAATCACTTGGACCCAGGAGGTGGAAGCTGCAGTAAGCCGAGATCGTGCCACTGGCTTCCAGCCTGGGTGATAGAATGAGATCTTGTCTTAAAAAAAAAAAAGACAAATGAAGGAGTAAGAAATATACATCTGAAAGTCTGGAGTAAGGTCAAGACTAGAAATACAGACTTGGCAATCCACTGTGTAATTTCACTATAGCAGAAGTTGTATGTAGCGTCTATGAGTCAAATGCTACTTGGCTAAATTTTTTAAATAGTGAGGTTTTTTTTTTGTTGTTGTTGTTTTGTTGTTGTTTGTTTTTTTAAGAGTCTCTGTTTCCCAGGCTGGAGTGCGGTGATATGATCTCAGCTCACTGCAGCCTCGACCACCTGGGCTCAAGCAATCCTCCTGCCCCAGCCTCTCAAGTAGATGGAACCACAGGCTTGCACCACCATGCCCAGCTAATTTAAAAAAAAAAAAAAATATGTAGCAGGGTGCAATGGCTCATGCCTGTAATCCCAGCACTTTGGGAGGCTAACACAGGTGGATCACCTGAGGTCAGGAGTTCAAGACCAGCCTCACCAACATGGTAAAACCTTGTCTCTACTAAAAATACAAAATCCAGATATGGTGGTGCATACCTGTAATCCCTGCTACTCAGGAGGCTAAGACAGGAGAATCGCTTGAACCAAGGAGGCAGGGGTTGCAGTGAGTCCAGATCATGCCATTGTACTCCAGCCTGGGCAACAAAAGCAAAATCCATCTCAAAAAAAAAAAAAAAAAATTGGCTGAGCAGCTGTGGCTGACACCTGTAATCCCAGCACTTTGGGAGGCCGAGGCAGGTGATCACAAGATCAGGAGATCAAGACCGTCCTGGCTAACACAGTAAAACCCCGACTGTACTAAAAATACAAAAAATTAGCTGGGCATGGTGGAACATGCCTATAGTCCCAGCTACTCAGGAGACTGAGGCAGGAGAAATGCTTGAATCTGTGAGGCAGAGGTTGCAGTGAGCCAAGATTGTACCACTATACTCCAGGCTGGGCGACAGAGCAAGACTCTGTTTAAAAAAAAAAAAGAAAGAAAAAATTTTTGTGTGTGTGTGGAGATGGGGTCTCCTTCAATTGCCCAGCTGGTCTTGAACTCCTGGGATCAAGTGATCCTCCTGCCATGGTATCCTGAAGTGTTGGGATTACAGGCATGAGCCACCAAACCCAGCCTAAATTTCAAGCTTATATATCAAAACCTGGATTTCTGGTTTTTCTTGAAAAATTGGAAGTTCTAGTAGCATTTTGGGTTAGGATAACTTCATGACAATACCATGGTTCAAACCTAGTCTACAAATCTCTTATTTATTTATTTAGACAGAGTTTCGCTCTGTCACCCAGGCTGGAGTGCCCTGGGGTGATCTTGGCTCAATGCAACCTCTGCCTCCTGGGTTCAAGCAATTCTCCTGCCTCAGCCTCCTGAGTTGCTGGAACTACAGGCATGCACTACCATACCCAGCTAATTTTTGTATTTTTAGTAGAGACAGGGTTTCACCATGTTGGCCAGGCTGGTCTTGAACTCCTGACCTTGTGATCCACCCGCCTTGGCCTCCAAAAGTGCCAGGATTGCAGGTGTGAACCACCACACCTGGCCCATTTCTCATTTTTATAGTTTAGCAGGTCTCTGTAAGCATTTGAATTTGTTATCCCTGAACTTATATCCTCATCAACATTATAGATTTCTTTTTTCTTTTTTGAGATGGAATTTCACTCTTGTTGCCCAGGCTAGAGTGCAATGGTATCAGCTTGGTTCACTGCAACTTCCACCTCCCAGGTTCAAGCAACTTTCCTGCCTTAGACTCCCAAGTAGCTGGGATTACAGGTACCCGCCAAAAATCCTGACTAATTTTTTGCATCTTTAGTAGAGACAAAGTTTCACGATGTTGGCCATGCTGATCATGAACTCCTGACCTCAGGTGATCCACCCATCTTGGCCTCTCAAAGTGCTGGGATTGCAGGTGTGAGCCACCATACTTGGCCTATAGATTTCTTTATAGTTATTTTTATTAATTAATAGGTATATAATGGTAATATAGGTTGTCTTATTTTGCTGTCTTTTAATTTTTACAGGGCTATTTTTCCACGTAATAATATACTATCCATAGTCCTCATGATTAAATTATCATCTCTTTCAACCATTAGTTGAGAGAAGTCTTACTAGTAAAAATCTATATTTTTATCCATGATCATATAATTTATACAGTAGACCTTTAACAGTTGTATGTGTATATATATATATATATCTCAATTGGCTAAAATTAACTTACATTCAAAAAAAATTTTATGTACTCAGAGCCCACGCTGCCTAAATAATCATGTTTCTTTAAATGCCCATGCTTTTTCTTAGAGAAAGGCTCTCTGTATGACTTTCTTATAGCTCCTTATGAGAAACTTGATCTTTTTTTTAAAATCAAGAAATTAATTGGCAAAGTTGTGAGGTAAAAAGTATATACTTTTTATAGCACACAAGACTGGCATTAAAACATATACTTGAAACTTCTTACTTGAAAATACTAGAATTAGAAAATGAGCACTGAAAACAGCTTTGGATATTACCTTTTTTAACAGATAAGAAAACCTAGGACCCAGAAAATATAAGTAACCTGCAAAAGTTAACATAGCTATTTAGGCTGAGCACGGTGACTGACATCTGTAATCCCAGCACTTTAGGAGGCCGAGGCAGGCGGATCACCTGAGGTCAGGGTTTGAGACCAGCCTGGCCAACGTGGTGAAACCGTGTCTCTACTAAAAATATAAAAAGTTAGTCAGGCATGGTGGTATACACCTGTAATCCCAGCTACTCAGGATCCTGAGGCAAGAGAATTGCTTGCACCCAGGAGGCAGAAGTTGCATTGAGCCACTGCACTCCAGCCTGAGTGACAGAGTGAGACTGTCTCAAAAAAAAAAAAAGGTCATATAGCCATTATACCAAAAGGAAGATGTCATATCACAGTGTAAATGATAGATAACTTCAAAGTTAATTTCCCACTTGTCTTACCACACATTTTCCTCTTATAGTGTCAAGTACTCATCCCTAGTGGCACTTGCCTTCATAATTCGTCCCACAGCTGTCATTCCGTGGACACCTTTGCTCTTCAGACATTTCTGTCAAGAACCAAGAAAGCTTGATCTTATTCTACATCATTTTTTACCCGTAGGGTAAGTGTGGTAACAATCCATCCCTTAATTTTAGTAACCTATAAATCACAGATTATGAACAAAATTTTACATCTTTCAGCTATATCTTCTAATGTCAATGAGAACTCTTAGTCCAAGGAAATAGAATATTGCAAAACTTATGTATTATATTCTTATATTTATGATCCTGACTATAACTATTTTAATTTGCTTAACTGAGTACTTTTATAATTATTTCTAACTTAGAACTGTCTGATGCTTTATTTCCTAAATATTTCTCAAATATATTTTAGGGATACTTGATTCTTTTACATTTGTATAGGGCTTTATCATTCATAATGTGTTTTTACATATTACCTCATAATTTTCATAATACTACAATCTAGGCAATATATGTTTTTATTTTGTAGTAGAGAAAACAGGAGGCTGGGAGAAATTAAAAATGTGTTAGCCAAAGCCATTGGGCTAGCTGCTATACTGGTATTGAAACCCAGGTCTTCTAACTACACTATGAGCTCCTAGGATCAGACATATCCCAAGTATCTAGTAGACTATCCCAAATAATTATTTATTGAAGGGATGACTGCATTCTGACTCGTAGAACGTGATCTTTTTAATATACAATCATGTACCATATAGTGACATTTTGGATAGCACTGGACTGCACTTATGACAGAGATCCCATTAGATTATATTAGTGTATTTTACTGTACTTTAGTTTCTGCGTTTAGCTATGTATATTCATTTATTTGAGATGGAATTTTGCTCTGTCACCCAGGCTGGAGTGCAGTGGTGCAATCTCAGCTCACTGCAACCTCTGCCTCCCTCCCAGGTTCAAGTGATTCTCCTGCCTCAGCCTCCCAACTAGCCTAGCTGTTATTACAGGCGCCCGCCATCACACCCGGCTAATTTATTTTTGTATTTTTAGTAGAGATGGGGTTTTACCATGTTACCCAGCTAGTCTCGAACTCCTGACCTCAGGTGATCTGCCCACCTTGGCCTCCCAAAGTGCTGGCATTACATGTGTGAGCCACTGTGCACAGCCTGTTTTGCCATAGTTAGATACACAGATACTTAGCATTGTGTTATGGTTGCTTACAATATTCAGTATAGTACCATGCTATATAGGTGTGCTGCCTAGGAGCAGTAGGCTATACCATATAGCCAAGATATGTGTAAGCTATACTATCTAAGCTTATGTAAATGCACTCTATGATGTTTGCACAATGATGAAATTGCCTAATAATGCAGTTCTCAGAATGTATCCCCATTGTTAAGTAGTACATGACTGTACTAGTATTCATTAGTCACAAGTATTTTTTGGGTAGCAATCTGAAACGAGTAAATTATCTTGCGTCTCAGTTGCTACCTTGTTGTCATTTCTCAGATGTATTACTAACATTACATTAAGTATGTTCATTCATTCAGGAAGCATTTAATCCTACTATGTGCCAGGCAGTGTTCCAGATGTAGGAGATGCATCAGTTTAACCAAAAAAACTTCCAGCCTTCATGAAGTTTACATCCTAGTAGGGAAAAAGAGACAACTCAAAAGATAAGAATAAATATGTATCTGTCGAGTGATGGTGATACAGGGAAAAATAATTGTGGGATAAGGAGGAGAGAATGCTAGTGCTTGGTGTAGTGGGGGAGCTGTTATTTTTAAATAGGGTAGTTGGGAAAGATCACCATGATAAGGTGACACTGGAGCCAAAACTTAAAGGAGTTCAGGGAGCGAACCATGTAGTTACTTGATGAGAGAATATTCCAGGCAAAGGAACCAGCCAAGTACTAAGTATGTTGGACATATTTAAGGAACAGCAAGAAGAT